CGACTGCATTCAGGTCGAATAGCGCCATCTATTTGGGACAGCACCGAGCCATCTATCACAAACACTGAAACAATTGCTTTTGTGGAGGCAGTAATGCATTACTAGAAACTGCATGGAAGTGTACGTAAATGTAAATGGTTTTGTTCATCGCACTCTTCCCATTTCTTGTAAAAGAACTTGTACGCTGTGACACAATAACATTATATTTAAACAAAACAATGATACAATTATATTATATTTAAATTCAATTATACTGCATAAAGTTTAAATTATATTTTAAGGACTAACAAAGTTTTTATGTTGACATTTTATAAAAAATTCAATAGTAGTGTTTCTAAACGTTTATAACACCAATGTAGCAATAAAGCACAAATTATATTTCAGTTAAAGAAATTTAACAAATACCCAATATTTTGGGGAGCAAATTTTAATAACATATAAAAAATTTGCGAGTCAACTTTTAGTTTGTATTAATTGGTGTAGTTCAAATAACTTCAGATTTCATTTCATTCCGTGGTGAATAAAAACGCAAAGTTTAAAGAATGTGGCTGACTTCCTAAAGCTCTATTGAACTGCAAATGTTTTAAAACCGGCATCGTTATAAATAACTCAAAAAGCAGCTTGACAGGTTGACTCCTATGCTTTCTCACATAATCTTACTTGTTATGTTGTAAGCGATGCCAGTGATAACTGATAAGCGATGCTTTGATAAAGTGTGTCGTAAGTTGACACAGTTTGTGTTGGACACTTTCAACAGTTTGAAACAGATTATAAGTGAAAAACAACCGGACCCTTTTGCATAGGGTATGTTTATGGAGTAACGTTAACTAATTCGCGTGGAAAACTGTTGAAAATATTTACACTAAACTACAGACAAAATAGCTTTCAAAATTGTAATATTTTTTTTATTTTAATTGTCCCTTAGATCAACAATTAATCAAAACACCATATTCTACATAATATTAGCTTTACAATATCAAAGTGATGGAAGAATGGGAGTGCTATAAAAGTTTATAATATCACTAATAGTTAAAGGAAATTTTATAGGTAGAACGAAAGTAATTTGTAAGAAATTTAATGTATAACTTTGAGAACATAGGTTTCTTTTTAACTCGGTCAATATACTTTTTTGCTGTTTTTCTTGTAACAGTATAAATAAGTGCCTTTAGCTAGTCAAATAACCTCAATAACACATACCGCTATCAGCACGTTATAGTTTGATGGCTGACTTCATTGTCAATTCGCCACAGCATTGTATGATAATTACCAAATTGCCCGGCCGGAGAAAGTGGTACCTATAACCTACGTGAATCAGTGGCGGTCAAGTCTTGAATGCGTATTCCGTTAGCTTATACGTCAAGCAAAGAAGGGAGCCAGACTAGCTCCTTGTTGGGTGCTTTATCAACATGATCCTTAATTCTTATATTATATAGTTCGTATATACCTATGCTCCTAGTCGCGGGTCCAAATAGTACATTTTAATCCAATACCAAAACATAGTGAAAAAGGCAAAGCAATATATTTCGCTTTAATAATTATGTGTAGGTACATATATTCTATTACAAGTCCTTTTCTTGTATTAGGGGCAATCACCCAACAATTTCAAGAAACCGAGTTAAATTGTTATACAAGTGGTAGATTGTTGTAGGTACCAAAGTTCCCAATGCGGTGATTCTACAATTACCGCATTGGATACAATATATAAACTTAATCAGAATCGCAATTTCTGTTTCTGACAATTGATTTAACTGTGTTTTCATTTATATGTTCCAGTGAAGTACTGAAAACGTTGTTGACGCTATTGTGCTATGATGGAATCGTTTTAAATTCGTTCAATATTTACTTTTAGCTCTTTTGTTATGTAAAATTGGATGTTGCATAAAAAGCCGAGTGTTATCCATAGTCCTTAATAAATTTAAGTCAGATGACATATATATACATATAATACACAGTCAAGGTTGCTTTTAACGTTTTGAACATATGTTAGTTAAGATATTAGTCATTTTAATATGTTTATCCGTATTAAAATAAAGGAGGTGTTTAAACGTCATACAAAATAGATCCATTTTGCCAATAAATACAATTATTTTTAATACCACGGTTGTATTGTCCAAACGTGTTTGGTCTAATGCATAAGAAATAGCAGTCATTAAAATAATAACGTTTTAGGATTTAAAAAGACATTATTGAAAAATTAACATATCTTTTAAAGATGACATAACAAATGCATACTCGTAAGTTTTTTTTTAAGGTAATTTTTAGATGCCCCGAGATAACTAAACTTCTTCTGCTAAAAATGGAAAGCTAAAAACAAAAACAAACTTACACACATGATATTGAAAGACATATTACTTTTAAATGTGTTTATTTGGGATTAACCACTATTTATAAACATATTTTTTACTTTTTAGCTAGCTTTACAATAATGTAGTTCTAAAACAACTTCTTCATATACCTATGAATATAAAAGAATGCTTTAAAGGGAATTGGAACCTCCCTG